TTCACTCTTGGCATGTGACAAGATTTATAAAATCTTCATATCCATTTGAATGCAATCTCATTTTGGTATAAATTTCTATCTCTTGTACATGTTTAGCTAAAACCCCGATTCTAGGGTGTGATGTTGTAAATAACGGTTAAATTAGTTGTTGGGTCTTACTTGCTGATAGATTATTCGTAGTTTAAATGTGATTTTTATTAGTACATGTGGATTAATTTGATGAGGTTTTAGTTGCAAATATAATCATATATGTGTTTTCGGCTTGCGAGAGAGAGAGGTTGTGAAACTAAGACTACTAAATTGATGGCTGGTGGGCGTGAGTTGACATGAAGTTCAGCTCGAGCGAGTGAACCCTACCTCATTCCCACAAGTGGATTTATTAGAGGAACAAGTGGATTTTTTTAGAGGAACCCATTTTAAATGTTTTAAGTTGCTCAAGCGAGAGCTTATCCCCCTAAAAGTCTAGCCTAATCACATTTACTCTATGAATTTTCTATCAAAAGCATGAACGCGATAATATCGTTTATCCCATATTCCTATCACATCCTGAGAATTCCCCTCGGGTTGATTAAAACTCTTTGTAAATTTTATTGTTTTAACTTACTTGTGATTAAAAAAAATCATTTGATAATCAACGCTTGTGTCACCCCTCTAGATTAAAGATGTTTTTATTCGAAAATGTCTTTAACTACGACTAATTAGAATAAGATTTTACTTTTCTATTAATTATCACAACCAATCCATGTGGAAACGACCCCAACACTTGATTGGGTTACTATAATATGGTACGATCGTAGACAATTGCATTGGAAATTGTGTCATTAATGACGTCATCGATCAAAATGGTATCGCTGTCAAGCAGTGGCTGCCCTTGAAAAATTTTAGATTGGTAGAATAATTGTTCTTCTCATTTATAATTTACTTACCTAATTTCTAGTTTTTATTTTTTGTTTGTGTGACTATTTCAGTAATCATGAGTGTTAACGGTAGCAACAACATCTAAGTGGGACACCAAGTTGATATAGAAAATCTCAACAATGTCTAACATCCCAACAACAATGGTCCCCATGTCATTGGAGGTATTGGAGATATTCATTTTCTTCCAATTAAGGGAAATGCAGTATTCCACATGACGAGCACTATGTTGCAACTCTTGCAACTAAAGGGACTTTTCAGAGGGTTATCTCGCGAGGATCCTTACAAACATATTTCATTCAGAAATTGGTGGATGTTTGCGCAACACTCTCGTTCAAAAACATCTCCGAGGAGTCAGTTCCATTAAGATTATTCCCTTTCTCATTGATGGAAGAGGCATGCAAATGGCTGGCCGAGTTACTGCGTGAATCCATCACTTTTTGGGAGGAATTGAACCGCATTTCATGTGTGATTCTTCCCTCTCTTGAAGATGATGAGTCTTTGGGATACCATTCATAGTTTTAAGCATTTGGAAAGAGAGACTCTACACAATAATTGGATAAGGTCAAAAAAGTTGGTGTTTCAATGCCCAACCCATGGTTTGTTGGATAATGTGCCGCTTAAATACTTTTATTGGTGCTTGGTCTCAATAAACAAAGGTGTCGCTTATTAACTTTCACCTGGAGGCTTAATAAAACAACCATATATAGAATCAGCCCAAATTTTAGATGGCATGATAACCATCAACAAGGCGCGGTACACTCGTGAGGACCAAGTCTCTCCTCTCACCTTTAATCTATCTAGGAAGAAGATTGAAAAATATCATGAAAGAGACCAAAACATGGCCAAAATCATGATACAACTTGAATTTTTATCTAAAATTGTCATGGGGGTTGGTGCATGTGGTGTCAATGTCATGGGGGTCGGATATGCAACTCGTGAGGAGATAAAGTTTGAATCCTTACATAACGAGGAGCTAAATTTTCTAACAAATCAAGGTGGTGTCTATCGTTCAAACTACCTAAGGCAGGGTGGTCACCAAAGTTGGGATATATACGAAGGTTGGAAGGATTGTGATCGTGAATGGAGGGACCTGAATCCAAATTGGAATGATGGGGAGAAGGATAGATATGTGCCTCACCATGAGCGCCAAATGCCCAAGGACTCAAAACATGGTAAGTCTAAGGGTATGCTCTTGCGTATCCTCAACAAAGTTGAAGGGTAAGACAAAATGTTAAAAGGCATGAAAGAAGATGTGTCTACACTTAGAAAAATGAACACCTCCCATTTAGTTTCAATCAAGTAGTTAGAGACCCAAGTGGGTCATATCTCGTCTCACCTCAATCCTAGACGACAAGGGGGGTTGCCTATTAATACCATGGCTAACCCCAAGAATGAGGTTTGAAGGTGGAATTATGTCGTGCCAACACGTTAACTAAAGCGTTGTTTTACTTTATTATAGAAATAAGGTTGTATTGATTTTGCAGGTTGAAATATGAAGAGTGATAAAAAAAAATGTAGGTTAGTAAACTATAGGTCCATTCCGTGAATCACTTAAGGGTTGGGCGACCCAAAACCAGACCGCTATTAGACTCAAAACCAATTTAAATTTAGTTTATAGAACTCAGCAAGGCAACTGACTACTCTGCACTACGCCGAGTAGTTCGCTGATTGTGACTTAGCTTGCCAAATAGATGAGATTTCGCAAATCTACATCTAGTAAGCATCTTCATTATCTTTGCACTCCTTGTATTTTAGTCATTGATTGGTGTGCTAACTTGGGATTACATTGATTCCTAGCCTTTCAAGTAACTTAAGTCAGCATGAAAGGTTGGATTGCACCAAACCCTGATGCTACTTTGAAACTTTTGGTACTCATTTGAAATGATCGTATTGTATTGTTGTGTGATGAGCCCCTCTGTTAGGAAGAGATTATCTTAATGTCAATTTTGAATTAAAAATCTTGCACGTACTATCCTTATTATTGAATGATACTATATTTTTGAGTTTTGAACTGAATGCAATTTTATTGGGATGTGATTGCCTTCTTTTAAATTGATTTATTGAAGCCTGAGTAACCCATGTTTGTGATAAATGATGAAAAATTCTCAACGAATGAGTGGGTTACACCACTTTTAAGATCAAATATAATCAAATTGCCATTTTTAACAAAATTGAAAAAATCTGAGTATCCGTGGGTGATGGGTAGTATGGGCCTTATTTGAATTTCTTTAGTGCATGTTTGATATTGATCTTGGGGAGTGTGGCATTGAATTGGAGAATATGGATAGAAAATGGGAATAATTGGACAATTTAGCAAGCTAGATTGAGCTAGACTAACCACTCAACAGTTTGCCTATTTTATCCATCTCGCTTTTAACTTCATCTCAAATTGGACGTTTGACTCTGAAACTTTTGATGAGAAAACTTTGGTTGCCAAAGGAACTCAGAGACTCGATCAAAGTACCTATAATCTCCCTTTGTACAGTCTCCCCGAACCCTTAGTGCATTGTGACTTTCGGCAAATAAATATTTGTTCCCTGAGAAAAATTCAGTTAATCGCCTAATAGATCAGCTAGTCTGTTTGCAATAGGTTTTCTATTATTATATTTGAGTTTTCTCCTAATTTATCCTGATCTTCTGCATATATGTCCAGACAAAAAGTCACACATACGAAGGAAGAAACTTTTAGGAAGAGTGCAGGGAAAGCAATGAGTGTGGAGAAGAAAGGTAGTTTCAGTAGAAGCATCACCATTAACCACAATGTCCCTTCATGGTCTCAAGGCTTCATTGATGCAACACATGCCTTTGAGGCGGCTCATGATGTGGACAATATGATCAAAGAAAACATTGTTGCAGAAGTTGAGGTCGAAGCAGCAGAAGCCACTAAAACCCTGAAGTAGATGGTGCAACTTCAAATACTGAAACCCAAATTCAGATTTATGCACAGGGCGCTAAGGCCCCGACATATCGGGAGACTACACAGACACGATCCTTTATTTGCCTCCATCTTTGCCTTAATTTGATTAACTTTTTGCATACTTTCATTTGCATTTGAGGACTAATTCTTTTTTATTATGGTGGGGGAGACCCACATTTGTGCGCTACTATTTTTATTTGTGTTCTTTGTTGATATTTGGGTTGTTCTATTTGAAATGATGTTTGATCTAATTTTGTGAATGTTTGAGTTTATGGCTCTCTTGTTATAATTGAAAATGATTTTAATCCTTCCGAAAAAAGTTTAATTTTTTCATAAATATTTTCCACCTCGTGTATGCACTGGAATGTGGTTGTTCTTTGGAAAATTTGAATCTTGTTTTTGATCAATACAGATGACTTGAATAGTGACCACAAGCGAATAAACATGAATGTAAAACTAGGATTAGACCAAATAAAGTTGCATAGACAATTTGTGAAATTTTTGCATCTGGTTGTGATTAGCCACGTATCAAATTGATCCTTTTGTGATGACCGTTGCACACTAGCAAAAATGTGAAGTCTTGTCTGACTTTAGCGTCGATGTCTTGTGTGATAAGCTTACCTTAAAACCATGCATGAGAACACCTATAATTTGCCTTGTTGGTCTAGTTGAGTAAGTAAGGCTTTCTCTTAATATAATATTAGGCATTTTAATAGAGTGTGAGACAATTTGACATATACCTTTTTTATGACCTATCTTGTGAGTGTGTGAATTGTTTTATCGAAAAGAAGAAAAATATTTGATTTGGAGAGTTCTTGATTTTTAAAGAGTCGCCACTTAATTTTTTGTGGAAAGAATTAAAAAAAGTTGATTTTCAAAAGATTAAACAGGGAAAAATCAATTGAAAACCTTTTAGGGGGTTTGTGGATTCATATATATGTTTCAGGAAGGTGTTAAGCACGTAAAACATCCACTTAATGCGGTTATCCGACAACTAACTATTTGGCTATACTTGTCTAACTTGATTGAAATTATTTGGGAAATTGTTTGAAAATTAGTTCTTACTTTTATCTAAGCGAAACTTATAATTTGAAAATCTATTTGAACTTAGTCCGATTTTAAATTATTAAAACATTGTGGCATTCTACGGGAATTTGGAGTCTTCTAACTTTAAAATAATGACAAATGGAAACATATAAGCAAGTAAAGTAAAAGAGGGAAAGAGGGAGAGAGAGGGAGGGAAAGAAATTTGGGTCCAAATCCGTGTTATCTGTCCGCCTTGACCGGATTTTGGACCCACCTGTTCTAGGTTTTGACCCATTTCACTTCCAGGTTTTTGACCCACTTTTCTTTCAACCTGTCCTAGACTAAACAATAATAAATACGAATAAATACAGAAAAAAAGAAACGACAAGGGCTTAGGCCTATTACAAACAAAAATTCAAAATCGGAAAAAAATAGTTCGGGCCTTCTAATCCCAACTTCTTTAACTCTTCAACTCGCTTCAGCTTCTTCAACTTTGAAACCTGTTCTTCGGTATTAAAGGGGGTTGACTCGATAAGGAAATTTAAATCTTGATGGCCCATCCGAAATGCAAAGGGAGAGATGAGAGTTCTTGTTCAACTCGGACAGATTTAACATGAAAAAAAGGAATTAATACAAAATAATGAGCAAATAAATCGATTTAACTAATTATCAAAATGTAAAGCTATCCAACTCAAAGCAGTTTTAAATGCATAATTAATGTTAATGGCTCACCTGTAGGTCCCCATGATTTAATAATTGAATACTACACTTACAAATGAACTATGTTAAAAGAGAGGATGAGAAATTGACAAGAGGCTTGATAATAAACCAACATTAAGAACCATATAAGACAATAATTGAAAATAATAATATCAATATTAATACAATAAGAAAAAGGCATTCACGGTGACAAACAAGAGGAATGGCTAACACATGTAATTGAGAGAGGCATGTAGGCAAGACAAAGGTAATAAATATTAAATTAAGCAAAACTAAACAGAGAGCTAATCACCTTTGTCATCAATTAAATGGTATCTCGAATTCCTATATTTGACATTTTGAAGTTATAGTTCAAACTATACAATTAAACTCATGAGGTAAGGTGATTCTAGATGAAATATAACTCAATTAAACCCTATATTCAAAGGAACCCTTACAAAATGATATAAGTGCAACATCACGAAGATAAGAATATATTAGGCATAAGCTCTCCCATATAATAGATATAAACAAATTAGTCACAAGTATTTGCCTTAGCAGTGCTATGATTCAAACCAAATGAAAGTTGATTGTCAACAAGCGTGCGCAAGTGAACAACAACAAAAAAAAAGTCCTCTAGTTATTCTATTTTATACGAAAGAACATGATTAATTCAAGAAAAGAGCTCATTCGAGATGCTTAACTAAGAGGCAAAAAACTCTACTCCAAGTATGAGAAGCTGTCAAATTTCATACCCAAAACTTTATTAGTTACTCCTTGATACCATCAATTACAAAGGCAATGACAACAACATAGAGGGAATTTGGAGTTGGCTGAGAGTTATGAAGATATTCATGCTAGTGGACATTATTTTCATGAATTTTTCCAACATTTTTTGATAACGAACTAAAGTTGAAATATGTGTATATACTCTTTGACACTTACAAGAACAAACCTCTCCCGCAAAAGAGCTTTCCAAATACTTAAGGAAATTAAAATCTAAACAAGTTCACATGTTGAGGCAACCAGAAAGTAATAGACAAGCTTTTAAAGGATGAGTAAATAAAATTTTCATTAAAAAAAAGGACATCAACAGATTTGCAGGTTTGCTGTAAGGAAACAATAATAAAAACCCATTTACAATTGGAACGACGAAATAAGCAACTTCATAGGACAATCTATATTCCCCAAACAAAGGATGCTAAAACAAAACAGTGCACCTAAGAAGAGAAAAGAACTAAATGATCAAAGAAGAATTCAAACGACAAAGGAGAAAAGGAATTTTTCAATCTGATGGACAACAAATGTAACAGTATTTAAACCCACTGTTAACTAATCTCATACTTTCAGTTGATACTCGCAAACGAAATGTCAATAACCATAAGAACACACCTCATGCTCCAAAACGATTGAAACTAGTAGAACACTTTGAGAACTAAACAAATGCATTCAAAGAGATGCTTAAACGAAAAGGGTAATAACTTTAAAGCTAAAAAAACAGTTTCAAAATATACAAAGCCGACGTATACACACTTGGACCATATTCTCATATAACCGATTCCAAAATACGAAGAGACAAACTCAAAATGCTTCACAAACAGACCCAACGGTAAAATGAAATAAAACCAAAAGAAACACAAAGCAAGCTCATGTTCTATCCTCTGTCTTCATGGTTATTAGACGATGAGTAACTCGCATGAATAAGTCACTTTATGTGTTAATCGACTAAGTTAACCTCATTCAAAACAAAAAAAAAATTCATAATACAGCAGTAGCAAACCAAGCAAAGAACAAAGCTATTCGAGAAACTAACAGAACTATATTCGGAAGGAACTGAAATTCAAAGGGAAAGTTCACCTTCTTATGGGCAGCGAACTGAGATTTAGACGAGTTGGTGCGAACTGTTCCACCACGCGAGCACAGGACATGTAGTAAGCAAGAAAACTAGGAAGCAAACTCAAACCCAAATCAATTTAATATCGGAACTAACTCTTCTCTTCCTTTCTTTTCTACTATGATATTTATCCCTTCTTAACTTCGGCAAATTTTCAAATCGAATCTCTCCCTACTTTCCACGAATCTCTAACTGGAAGAGGAATCACCCAAAAAATATATCCTAATTTTTTTTCCAAAACTCAAAAAAAATCTCCCTTTCAAATGACCAAAAAGATATTATATAGGGGCAGATTAGGGGTGGGAAAAATGGGGGGGTGGGGGGGGGGGAGTCCAATTTTCATTCCGAAAATTCAAAAAAAACTCTCCAAAATCTTTAACAAAAACGGCTGAACAAACTTTTTCGGAGGCTCCTGACCCATTCCAAAAGGAGAAAGGGAAAGTCGACGCTCCGGATTGATTCCGCTGTCTTTGACGAAACGACGTGGCTTCATATCATGGTATGAGGATGATTTCTCATGTTCTGCCATCGTACAAACTAAGAAGAACATTGAGGAAGAAGACAAAGTCCAGTCTGTTCCTCATCGCTTTCTCGTCGCACTCGCTCTCTGCCACTCACGCGCTTGACGTTTTTCTGAGCTTCGTTCTTCCGGGCGTGGAAGAAGACGAATGGGATCAGGTTGGGGTTGTACACGCTGGTTCCTGAGTTGATCGCTTCTCATTCACGCATGGAGAAGATGAAGAAGGAACATGACGGGTCAGATTAAAGGAGCGTGGGCCGGGTAAATTGTTTGGAGTTTCGGGTTGAAGTGCTGGGCTTGAAAAATTTCCAGGAATTGTGAGGTGGGCTGGAAATTTAAAAGAGGGCCCAAAACATGGTTTTGCAAAAGGGTGAAAGGATTATTAAAATTACAATGACTCAGTGAATTTCCATCGAAATTAAAAATCTATCCAAATGAATTTAGTTGGCGAGATTGGCCAAAATCCTAAATAAGACAAATTGATTTAAATTAATTAAAAAGAACATTCTTAATCTTAATGATATAAAATAATTAGTTAATTGTCGACTTGTGATTCAAAATATCACTTTAATTTAAAACAATTTGATACTTATTTAAAAGAGAGAAAAATAAAAGATCTTTTTTAGATAATTTTTGAATTGTTTATAAAATATTAATCACATACATGATTATGTAAAACATGTATTATCTAAAAATTATGAAGAGCTGATAAGATTAACTTAGAAACTTGAAAATCATTTTATTTTACATGTATATATTTTAACTTCATAAAGTCTATTATTTCAAATCCTTTAGATTTAAGAAGCTCGTTAATTGATTATATATCGGGGAGGGTCGAAATTGAATGTCAATAATTGTCCCTCATTTTATTTGAATTGATGCAAGAAATTCGAGGAAAATGAAATTGACCAAGTCAATTTTGACCGACCACACATTCCTCTTTTAGGAAAAGGGACTGGGTACGGACACTTAGTAATTATGGCCGTCCTCCGAAAATGGGTTTCCTACATATCTCAGGCTATATGAGAATTCAGGCCATTTGTTGTTCGACACATAACGCACAATTTTTGAAAGAAATCAAGAGTCACCTCGATACTGAATTATGAAGGTATCGGAATGTTCGAGAATAAGACTTGAGAGTGAATGTTGGGATACAACCGAGTTTCATTATTGGGCTCGCCTGCATATCCTTATACCTCAGGAATCAGGATGCTTGTAGTTCGACTCGATCAGTTGAAAAGGAAATCTATTATTCTAGGTAACCTTTGGCTCTGGATAAGTGACAATTTAAGTCGAGTATGAAAAGAGGCTTGTAACCTCTTAGTCATGAATGCAGCGCGCTTTCACACCCACAATTAAGAATTTACACAGACATAATTTCCAAAATTCTTGGTTCATGCCACTTAGATAGGGAAGTTGCCTCAGGCAGACCGAAGTTCCGGATGTAAAACCGAGACTGACAAAACCAAAGAAGAACCCACATGCCTTCAACTAGGGGTGTGGTTTCATTGTGGTTGAAGTCATTCCTCTGCTCGCGTCCTAAGAGTTTGACATTCCTCTTCAGACTATGTCCCAGTTCACGTCTAAGAAAAACTTTCACGTTGTGATGCATCCTTTTTTATGTCGTCCGCACCTGTGGTTTGTTATTGGAGAATTCATCATTTTGGATGCTCTCGACAAAGACTTAGATAAAACTCGTCAGCTTAAAAATGCAATTCAAATGCGAGATAGTGTCTTTTACCGTGTTGACATTTAGTTTTTCTACTTCTTCATTTGACGCCAACTCGATCGGTTTGACGTAAAGCAAATAAAGCTTATGTCTTGCATTTGCAATGTAATCTCCAATGTTCTTTTCACTTGATGTCAAAATAAACAAATGTTGATGCGATGCAGATACTTCTTTTGATGTCAATGTACTCTTCATGTTGATGTCAACATAAATGAAAGATGATACAGTGTTGATGCTTCTCTTGATGTCGATGTACTCTTCATGTTGTTTACTTTTTATCAAAATAAAAAAAAACAGTTGATGCCGACGGATAAATATTTCTCTTGGGTACACGATTTCCTTTTCTGGCAGTACATGACTTGTTGCGAGGCATGAATACTTTCCTGCGGTGTGTAAATTTCTGCGAGGTATGAAATATTCTCACGAGGCATAAATTTTCTGTGAGGTATGAAATCTTCTCACGATGCATAATTTTCCGCGAGGTACGAACTATCCTCGCGACGCATAATTCTCTGCGAGGTATGGAACCTTCTCGTGATGCATAATTTAATGTGAGGCATGAAAACTTCTCGTGATGCGCGGCTCTCGGCGAGGCGTTAATATCTCCTCGCGATGCATGAATATTGAATCACGATTCATGTTCTTCCGCAATGCATCAGTATTGACTCGCGATGCATGATCATCCACGATGCATGATTTTTCGCGATGCATGAATATTATAATGCCTCCAGCGATGATAACGGAAAAACGACTTCCAAATAGTATATCGTCTTGATCAATAATAAAATAACTTATTACTTTGGGTAATGCGTAGTATTATATCCGTCGTTATGATGCAAATAACATCCTTTTTGGAAACAGTAAATTACTTCTTGACATTTTCTCTTGATCCTCCTTTGAATTTAGCTAGACGTTCTTTATAAATTTCATCTTATCGGAAATTGATTAAAATAAACAAATCATTTTCCCAAGTCTCCGACTTAGCAATGTAAAATACTTCCTGCTTATAACAAAAATATTGATTTTGGGATAGTTTTCTCCTCCTTTGGATTCTTCATATCCACTCATCGGAAAAATCTGCTGGTTTCGGAGCAAAGCTATTAACCTGCGTCCACTAGAAAAATTGTTAGTTTTTAAAAACGAACTAATCTGTGTCGATTTCTCCATTTTTCTGCTTCTTGTCCTGCTATCCCCGATTGATTTCTCAATCTCCCTACTCTTGATAGATAAGATAAAATTTTATGACAAAACAAATGAAACATAAAGGAAAATCTATAAGAAAATAAATTTTCAAGAAATAGTATCTGAGAAAGGTCACTGTCAAGTCATGTCATATCGGGCTTAACAAACTTCTTTGAGTTCGATGCTCGAAGGTTTATTTGATTATTCGCTGGGGATTTTCAGAGTCACTCCGGACTTATGGATCTATGCTGAAATATTGAGGCCATCTTCAAAAATTTGTCCCAGGTAATTGTTTTTCTTATCTCTCCACTATAAATGAGCATATTATGGAATTTTTGAGATCTTCTCAAAAATTCTGTCCCAGTTGCAAATTTCAAAATGTCTTCAGCCTTGACATTCTGAGGAAGCATCTTGTTCTCGAAAATTTTTGAGTCCCTCTCAAAAATTTTGTCCCGGTTTCTATTGTAAAGTGGAATAGAAATCTTACGGGAGGTATGACGAACCCTTGTGGCGCCTACGTATCCCATTGAGGCAGGAATCAAGTCAAACGTACTTGCCCCCTCAAAGGTTGGCAAACTAAGAAATTTACAAAGAAAACAACCAAGGCCGACAAAGGTCGCCTACGTATCTCATTCTTGAGAATTCAGGTGGAACGTAGTTCAAATACAAGGAAATATTAAAGGGGTAAATGGGGTGACCGATTCCGACATAGGCCGCCTACGTGTGTCGTTCTTGAGAATTCAGGTCAGACAAAGTTCATTTCAAAGGGGTAAAATTTTAGGAAAACAAATACAAGTAAATAGAATGATTACAAGTAAATAACAGAAATGAAAACGCAGCTTCACACATAGTATCTCTTGACGGCATCTGATTGATCAATTTCGGCCATACGGTGTCGTCCATCTCTGACAGGACCAAAGCACCTCCAGATAATACTTTGCGATCAATGTAAGAACCTTTCCAGTTTGGTGCAAACTTTCCTTTGTACTCGTCTTGATAAGGAAAAATACGCTTAAGAACCAACTGACCAACTTAAAAAATTCGGGCTCTTACTTTCTTGTGAAAAGCACGAATCATTCTCTGTCGATACAACTGACCATAACAAACGGCAACCATTCCATTCTTATCAATCAAATTTAGTTAATCAATCCGCTTGCTAACCCATTCAGAGTTACTTAACTCAACTTCTTGGATGATTCTCACAGACGCTATCTCAACTTCAGCAAGTATGACCGCTTCTGTTCCATATACTAGCAAATATGGAGTGGCTCCAATCGATGTTCTGACAGTCATGTGGTATCCCAATAAAGCATATGGTAACCTCTCATGCCAACTCGATGCTTGTGAATCATTTTCCTCAAAATCTTTTTGATATTCTTATTGGCCGCCTCTATAGCTTCGTTCATTTGGGGACGATAAACGGTTGAATTTCGGTGAGTGATCTTCAATTTCTCACATATATCTCTCATCAATTGACAGTTGAGATTTGCGCCATTGTCAGTAATAATGAATTCTGGTACTCCAAACCTGCATATCAAATAGTTGCGAACAAAATCAGCTACAACTTTCTTGGTTACCCACTTGTATGAAGCTGCTTCCACCCACTTGGTGAAGTAATAAATGGAAACCAAAATTAATCTGTGTCCATTAGAAGCGGTTGTCTCTATCGGGACTATGACATCTATGCCCCAAGCTACAATGACCAAGGTGATATTATTGCAATAAGTTCATGAGGTATCACTTGTATCAGATCACCGTGCACTTGACATATGTGGCATTTTTGCACGAACTTGCAACAATCATTCTCCATAGTCATCCAGAAATATCCAACTCGTGGGATGTTTCTTTCCAAAGTGAGCCCATTCATATGTGTGCCACAAACTCCGGCATGTATCTGTTCAATAAGCCTTGCAGCTTCTACGGCATTAACTCATCTTAAAAGATACAAATCTGGAGTCCTCCTAAAAAGGAAATCTCCGCTTAGAAATAATTTGAGAGCCACACGACGTATCAACTTCTTTTGACTGGACGTAATGTCTTCGGGATAAGTTCTAGACTCCAAATACTTCTTTATATCAAAATACCAAGGCAAACCGTCTGTTTCTGCTTCAACATAGGAACAATGACTGGATGTTCTTTCAATTTTATATCTAGAGGATTGATATGATCTGTATCCAGATGTTTAATCATCGAAGAGATGGTGTCAAGAGCATCAGCCAATTCTTTCTGTATTTTGGGAGTATGTCTAAACTCGATCTTACGAAATCTTTTGCACAACTTCTGCACATACTGTACATAAGGTATAATGTTTGGGTTCTTCACAGCCCATTCTTCTTGAACTTGATGAATTAAAAGGTCTAAATCTCCAATAATCAACAACTCATAGACATTCATGTCGATGGCCATTTTCAAACCAAGAATACAAGCTTCGTATTCGGCCATGTTGTTTGTGCAACTAAATCGAAGCTTAGCCGCCATGCGATAGTGCTGACCGGATTCTGACACTAAGACTGCTCCAATACCTTTTCCTTCACGATTCGCCGCTCCATCAAAGAATAATCTCAACCCTGGATACGCTTCAGAAATATCCTCACCCACAAATGACACTTCTTCATCATGAAAATAAGTCTTAAGTGGTTCATACTTTTCATCAACAGGATTTTCTGCAAGATGATCAGCGAAAGCATGTGCCTTTATTGCCTTCTGAGTCACATACACGATATCAAACTTACTCAACAACATTTTCCATTTATCTAACTTTTTGGTCGGCATCGCTTTCTAGAAAATATACTTCAATAGATCCATTCAGGAAATGAGATATAGAGTATACAAAGACAAATAATATCTCAACTTTTACGGAAGCCGTGTCAATGCACAACTCGTTCTCTCCAATAAAGTGTAACGAGATTCGTATGGAGTAAACTTCTTGCCATGTCTCGTCATGTTGACCAAGTACGCATCCGAGTGTACTATCTGAGACAATCAAGTACAACAATAAAGGAATTCCTTCTCGCGGAGGAACCAATACTGGTAGATTGGACAAATAGTTTTTGATAGCATCAAAAGCAGTCTGACACTCTTCAGTCCACTTTGTCGGGGCGTCTTTCTTCAGCAGCTTGAAAATATGCTCACACACCAAGTTTGATTGAGCTATAAATCGACTTATGTAGTTTAACCTCCCTAAGAACCTCATCACCTCTTTTCTCGTCTTTGGCGGACGTAACTCTTGAATGGCTTTAATCTTAGAAGGGTCGAGCTCAATACCCCTTCTGCTGACTATAAATCCCAAAAACTTCCCAGCCCGAACTCCAAAAGCGCATTTGGCAAGATTTAACTTCAAGTTGTAACGACGCAGGCGATCAAAGAATTTCCTGAAATGTGTCAAGTGGTCCGAACTCCTGCGGGACTTGATTATGACATCATCCACATACATTTCAATCGACATATGAATCATGTCATGAAAAACGGTCGTCATGGCTCTCATGTAGGTGGCACCGGCATTCTTGAGGCTGATCGACATCACCGTGTAGTGATATACACCCCAAGGTGTAATGAAAGTCTTCTTTTCTGCATCCTTCTCATTTATCAAAATCTGGTGATAGCCTGCGTAACAGTCCATGAAAGATTGCATTTCATGCCTTGCGCAGTTATCTATCAAAATATGAATATTCAGCAGCAGAAAATTATCCTTTGGGCAAGCTTTGTTGAGATCTCTGTAATCGACACAAATCCTGATTTTTCCCATCTTTCTTTGCGACCGGAATAACATTATCCAACCAAGTTGGATATTGTGTCACTTCCACTAAACGGGACTCTATCTGCTTAGTGATCTCTTTCTTAATCTTTAAACTCAGTTCAGGCTTGAATTTCTGAGTTTTTTGCTTCACCGGATCGAACCCTGGGTTTATCGACAGCTTATGAGATACGACATCGATACTCAACCCTTGCATGTCACCGACTTCCTAGAAGAACACATCAGTATATTCAGCAAGAAAATGAAGTAGGCCTTTTTACTGAGATTCATTTAGGTGGATGCTGATCTTAATTTCATTGACACATTCTGGATCTCCCAAATTCACTAATTTTTGTTTCCTCTAGATTTGGTTTATGGTAATTTTTGAACTGCCAAAATTCCTCGGCGACGTAATTAGGTTCCTCACTTACTTCTTCATAATCGTCAACCTTGTCATCACCTGCCTCATTTTGTTCATTTAGCTCATGACATGATATGACATTGGCAGGTCTGTAACTTATGTTACTAAATCATTAAAAAAAACAAAATTAGGAAAGTAAGGTATAACAAACGACTTAAATAAATAAAGTTAAAAACAAAGAGGCTTTCATTTAAAAACAATGCAAACTTTTGCCATGGAATGGACCATGTTGCCTTTTTGAACATCACAATGAAAATTCAAAAATTGAAACAGTTAAGAAAATGCAAAATGGTGGGTGTCGGGCCTCCTCCGAACTACCACCAATTTTGATGTGCATGAAATAACGCCTTTCTACCACAGAGTTCGGGGTATCAGGGTCAGCGCGGAGGTTCAGTTCCGCAGCACCTCCCCTAGTTCAGCATCGCGAATACCAGCTATCTCGACCTCTTCCTCGACAACAATATCGATATCCTCGAAGAGGTCACAGATTCTTTCCCTAAGGTCTTCATGCTCGGCATACTCCCGGACCGGAAAGGATTGATATAGATGTGGGATCGGCTTAGTCAATGCTTGATCATTTTTCTTCTTCACCTTCATGTCATCATCTGTGGAGATGTACCCCAAAACCATATATGTATCCCTTAATAAGGACCGAAACAGGCTCAGTAATTCCTTCAAGATCTCTTCCCAATCAAAACCCTGGCTCAAAACCATTCGGCAGCATCACAGTGGCTATCATCTTGTATACGGCAGGCATGGGGGTCTGAGGGGCGCAAGTCTTCGTCGTTGGCATTCACCAGCTCCATCATGTAAAAGTTTGTGCCTTGCGATACTTCATCAATGATTGGAGTCTATCTGCTGGAGTGACTCCCCTCGCCATGAATAACTAGCTCTTCTTCTTCCACCCGAGCTTCATCATTTGATGCTGAGTAGAGGGGACGGCTCTAGCCATATGGATCAACGGCCTTCCCAGAAGAAGGTTGTAATTAGTATCGATATCCATACTTGAAATTGCATGCTGAATTCTGCAGGGCCCATTTGAATGGTCAAATTCAGTGCCCCCAGCATGTCTCTTTGAACCCCATCAAAGTCTCTCACGTTGACTTGGTCTTACTCTAGTTTCCCAAGGTCAAACCTTAGCTACCTCAACGTCGACAACGGGCAGATATTCAGACCAGATCCATCATCTACTAAGAAGCGATTGACAACCCTTTCACGGCATAACACAGTGATGTGCAACGCCTTGTTATTTGACCTCCCTTCAACAGGCAACTCATCTTCACAAAAGTTGATTCGGTGCCCTCGAATAACCTGGTGAATCATGGCGACCACGTTATCACAGCTTGTACCCGCAGGTACGTAAGTATCATCGAGATCTTTGATTAAGTCTTGCCTGTGGGATTAAGAGCTCATCAGCAGAGCCCATACGGAGATCTAAGTTGGAGTCTTCTCCAAATGCTTGACGATGGAATAATCTTTTAGTTGCATTCTCCTCCAGAATTCCTACGCTTCTCCTTCGCTTATCGTCATCTTCGCCTGGTCCTTCTTCTGTCCTCTGAGAGCAAGCTCGTCAGGAGTGTAACACCTTCCAGACCTGGTCATGCCTTGAATATCAGCAGTTTCAATAACAAACTTAGGCTTGACGAGAGTTTCTTATGGCACCAAGGCAACAACCTTTGCAGGTGCCAAAAAAACATACTCTCTCTTCTCTTTGATTCTTAAATAAGCAACAACCCTTTCCAAATCATCGTGAACAATGGGAGTAATCATCTTCGTTCCACACCAGTCTTCATCTGTCTCAATCATATTGACATTACTGCCTCCATGATTCGGCAACGGGTTTGTGTTGACATTTGGTGTCGCCGGTTGGAGAGAGACTACCTCTTGATCAATCAGATCCTGAATTTTGTGCTTGAGGTTGATAAAATCTTCAGTATCGTGCAAAACGCTGTTGGAATGATAAGCACATGTCTGATCGGGTTTGTAAAATTTTGAATTGACATCCATGGGTTTGGGCCCCAGAGGGTGGATGTATCCAGCCACAGCCAGTCTCTCAAATAGTTTTTTCCGGCTTTCAACGAGTGCAGTAAAGTTTGTTGAAGGTCTCTTCTAGAATCTGGGTCGGAGAGGGTCATAACTGCCCTATTGAGTAGGAGGCACCTGTTGATAATTCCTGGTATTTGGATGGGGAGCTTGGGTTCTGGGATATGGATTTGTTTGGTAATTTTGCAATGGAGATTGGTAATTCGGAGGAGGATTTTTGTACAGTGGATATTGGACTTGATAAACTAGAGGGGGTTCTCGGTAGCTTGAATGTACATTAGCGTAGTTGGGAGCAACACCTTGGTAGGGAGATGGAATTTGGTAGGGTAGAGGACGATTTGTGTAAATGGGATATGGATTTTGGTAATTGAGGGGTGGACTTTGGTACACGGGAGCTTGGATGTTTTGATAAATGGAGGTAACATTCTGATTATTGGGAAGACTAGATTGCGTGTAACAAGATTGGTAGGCCTTGGGGAAGACCGGGAACGACCTTGGGAATACGATGAACTTCTGGGGACTTTCCTTCCCCCATATGAAATAGCAGCAACTTCTTCTCTTTTCTTTCTCAACAAACCTGAAGACCACGGTGGTGTGTCTACACGGGCTATATTTCCTTGTTTTAAACTGTGTTCGATAGTCTCACCAATCTTGACTATCTCGGTAAACTTTGCTCCAACAAGCAACATGATTCTATAATAATATTCCGGCTCTTGCACGCACACGAACATTTCAATGATTTATTTCTCAGTCATGGGTTGTCTCACCCTTGCCGCTTCTTTTCTCCACCTATAGGCGAACTCCCTATAGCTTTTAGTTGACTTTTGCTTCATCTTCTCCAAAGAGTATCGATCGGGAATAATTTCTATGTTTTAAGCAAATCGATCGATAAAATCTTTGGCCAATGCATTCCTGGTCCATTGTATAGTTTCATGCGAGGTAAACTATTCGAGAGCTTCTCCACATAGGCTCCGACTGAAAAGCCACATCAATAAAGCCTCATCCCTTCCAACGTCCACGAGCTGATCACATTAGGCTCTCAAATGAGCCATAGGGTTTCCCACTCCTCCAAAGGTGTCAAACTTTGGAATCTTGAACCTTTCTAGAAGGTCCAAATTTGGGTGGATATACAAGTCCTCGTAACTAAGTCCAGCGATGTCGGGGATGCATTGTAGCTCCTTCATGGCCTTCTTGATCTCCTTTTTTAGATCGACCCTTACATCTTTATTTGCCCTCCATTCTTTTTTCTTGTTCCTCGTAATGGTCCAACTCAAAATTGTGCACATCGTGCTCGACATGGACAAGAACTTGAAAAGTGGCTCTCTTTGGTTGGGGTGGAGCTTCAGAGAGACTTTGAGTGTTTTGGGATATTTGGTAATTCCGTGGGTAGGCCTGAGGATTGGTATTTTTATTTAAATGGTGATAAGGTGTTTGGGGATCGAAAGCATTTAGGTTCTGGTTTTGGTTTTGATTTTGTGGCAGTGGAGCGATTTGATGGTGAATATTTCGAGGATGGGGCGGTATTTGAGGATGGTTGTTTTGAAGATGAGATGGAGTTTGGTAGGATGTGGAAGCATATTTTGGACTTTGGGTGGTCGGATTTATAACCGACGGATTCTTAATAGGTGTAGATGGTTGATTCTTAGTTGAATCCATATTTGAGGAAGAGAAGTAGATTGGAGGCCTCCCCTCAGCGGCGTTAGCAGCAAATCTTAGTGGAGGCGAATCTCGCCTTCGTTGCATTTCCACCCTCATCTCAAAAATCTGTTGCATAATAAACTCATTCTGTTCTGCTACAGTGGGTTGAGCCACCACAACATCAGTCAGACTCACTTCATCATTATTATCCCCCATAACTGCCTTTCTCTGTCTGAGCTTTGTCTAGGGAAGGAATCTGCGGGACTTTTTGATCTAGTGAAATAAGGATGATCTGCCAACTTTTGATCGACATAGATCAGTTTCAAAGTACCTGGGGAGGGAAACAACTCAAAGGCAGATTTGTTAGTGCAGATTCAGAGTACACAATTTATAATATCACACAGAGAGAAGATAAACACACAAGTTACATTATTTGAGGATATCTTAAACCCAAAAGTGAGGATGGAAACACATATTTTTTATTTTTTTTAACAAGTAGGAGTTTACTTGTTTCATTTTTGGAGGTTGTCTTAGAAAGGCTAAATCATGTTAAGTTTTGGTCTTCTTACAGCTGCTTTTTCATGTCCTCTCTAGTCTTCGTATCTTCTCGTAACATGAGGGGGAGGATGAAAAATTTTAAAGATAGGGGCCGGGCCTAGAGAGGCTGCCTACGTATCTCACAAGG